GAGGAGTGTGCTGGTGATGGGCTGGGACAGGTACTGTGGTGCGTTTTGATGCCTTTATGTTTTAGTATTGTGAGCTTACTAATACAAGAAACACACTGGAAAGAGACATCAGAGGGTTTTTTACTTTAATTATAACATGATTTCTGAATTATTGGAATGAAGTCTGACAGTTTTCTGGAAAAAACACTGTTATTCCCCTCTGTATAATGTGTGCCTGACAGGGCATATTATCTCTTAGCACTATCTGTTCCTACAGTGGTGACTCCGCCCACTAGCTCACTCTCCTGTGACACTTCTTTTTCACCTAAAGAACCAGTAGATACCAAAGGTGGTTCTTACTGATGTCCACTGGTCTCCAGTCAGTGTAACACATGTCTCTTGTGCTGATTCCTCTGCTTTCTTTGCCTTGTCACTGTCATTTGATCCTTTGTAAACCTCCATGCTGGAATTACATGACCAAGTTTGGTTCAAACTTGGTCATGTAATTAATCTGCGCAATTTTTTTCAATCACATGTTAAGTTTTACATATGAGTTGCAAGCATTAACGCATTAACGTAGATCACCCCTATTTACAACACACCAAACTTCTGAAAAAAATAAAGTCAACAAATGAGCAAACACTATTGGCAAAGTTACTTGTTTGTCAGTCGCTGGGTCGGCTTTTTGTGTGTGTGTGTGTGTGTGTGTGTGTGTGTGTGTGTGTGTGTGTGTGTGTGTGTGTGTGTGTGGGTGTGGGTGTGTGGGTGTGTGGGTGTGTGTGTGTTTATGTTTGCCCTCTCCTGCTCCGTCTGCCTGCCTACGACTCAAAGCCATAAGACATCTGGACCCAGTGAGCTGATCTCAGCAGTGTGCCATCATCAAGTTATACGACTCTTCTTTCTCTGTCCTCCACACACACTAATANTGCAGATGCTAAGCAGTGTTTTGCAAAACAGATCACACAATTCTCTAACTCATGAGTTACACAACAGATTTTTGATCTTTGTGTAGAGAATTGTAACTTCAGTTAGAGAATTGTGTGATCTGTTTTGCAAAACACTGCTTAGCATCTGCATTTTGTGTGATATCAATGAGAAATGGTATACTGTTGTAGAGAAATGGTTTTCTGTTTCGATGGCTGTGCTGTTGGTTTGATGAAAGGAATTTTGATTCTAAATAGTGGGTTTAGCGATTGAGAAAAACTGTAAAGTAAAAAACCCTCTGATGTCTCTTTCCAGTGTGTTTCTTGTATTAGTAAGCTCACAATACTAAAACTAAAGGCATCAAAACGCACCACAGTACCTGTCCCAGCCCATCACCAGCACACTCCTCCTCAGCAGCAGCACCTGTGAGATGTCCACAGATCGACCCAGGCCGGCGTTCATTCTGTGGAGGCAGCGGCCGTTGAAGTCCCACACCTGCAACACACATAGCACTCTATAAGCAACACATAGGCTGAAAATAGGCCCAACTCTGCATGTCACTCCCTTTCGCAAAATGCACTTTATTATCTTGTCTGTAAAACCAAGAGGTAACAGAAATAGGATCAGTATTTTCTTAAACGATGTCTAAGGGCTTTTATTTCAAGAAGAAGATCTTTAAAAGAGAATGTTGTTTTGGATATAAATCCCCGATCCTACCACACATCCATCAAACATGGCAGCTCAGGTAATATTTCACACCAATTTGTTCAATTTTGTGTTGTGGCATTTAACAAAGAAACAAGCTGATTGGCCCGATGGGAACACTGTCGTTATAAGGTCATAATGTTTCATTCTGAACCGCCTGAACTGCAACACCGCAGGTTCAGCGTTGATGAAAATTGGAGAGTCGATGCATCGAGTTGCTATTTGCCCAAAAGGCCTACCTGAGGCTGCTTCTCATCCACAGGATACACAAGGCTGCATCCTCACGAGGACTCCCGGTCAGAGAGCTGATGTGGTTGATTACATTGATTACCATGTGTATAATTACTGCACTCATCTGTTGAGAACAATTACACTGAGCGTCGAGTCAGTGCTTGAATGTGGAATAATTCACAGAGCACCACACGTTTGAAATTACAACCAGGAAAAAAACGCAAGAAACAATTCTGCCAATGGAACACATACATGCTTGTTGTAATTAGGACGACAGAGGAGGCTTTTATTTTTTCTAAAATGCAAAAAAAATATCATTAATATGCATCTCTCGTGCAAAAGCATAACAAAAATCCAAAAATGTTATCAATCAGTCAAACTCGCTGCAGTGGCTAGGCTAGCTGCAGCCACGTAAGGTGCGTTAGGTCGAGCTGTAATGCTAGCTACAAAGGAAATTAAAGAGGCCCTATTATCTGTTCTGGGGTTTTCCTTTTCCTGTAATGTGTTGTTTAGGTTTTTGTGCATGTAAATGGTCTGCTAAGGCTAAAATCCCAAAGTTCCCTCCAGAAAGGATTTTTCTCCCCATGTCCTCTTAAACAAAACATCTAACAAAATAACGTACAAGAGTAACAACCCCCTAATGTTTGTTTGTTTATTTGTACAACCCTTTCAATACTTAGATGATGGTAACTGAAGCATTCACAGTTAGAGGACGTTAAGGATGACATAAGAAAGTCACAAAACCTATTTCCATTGTGACCTTGTGTTTGCCCATAGAGATTGTAGCATCATCAAAGCACGAAAAACTCACTTACTTGTAAAATCCCTAAACTATTCTTAAAAAATGACCAACTCATTGACTTTACCACTGTTTTGTTTTTTTGTTACGAATTTACATTTCAGAGTTTCAGTTTTTATATGACAACTGACCTGCGGCTATACGGTCTTAACTTGAGTGTGTGTGGGCGTACGTGTGTGTCCACCTACTTTGACCTCTCCGTCAGCGCCCGCAGTAAACAGCCGGGTCTGCGTACCGTCCAGGGCCATCGTGGAGATCTCCGCGTTTCCATGGCAGCGGCGAAACTGCTTGACCTTTTGGCCCGTGTCGACGCGCCAGCAGATCACAGAGGAGGCCGAGTCGCTGCTGACAGCCTGCAGAAAGAGAGAGGGAGAGAGAGAGGGAGAGAGAGAGGACATCCATCATCAGAGAGAGTTTGATCCTCTCCACGCTGCCTGAGAGAGAGCCGGGCTCCACTGATGTTCTCTGTAAAGCAGAACAATTCATCGTGCTTCGCTACACTCTTATTTTAGTGCTAAGCCACTAATGAAAGTATGCGACTAATGCTGCTGTCAAGTGGGAATAAAAGCAGGAGTATCAAGAGTGAATATGCACTCTTTTAAAAATGTTGTATTGAATGCAAGAGCTATTTCTTTTATTGGTGTACTGGCAGGGACACTGATATCAAGTGTGTCCGCATGGAGTGGGGTAAAGGGAGCATAACTTGCCTAAAACATACAATAATACATGATAACGACAACAAAATAAAACGTATGAAGCTTTGATCCTCTGTAAAACCTCTGCTCCTCCAATAATAATGTAAGAAAAACTACATTTCTGTCAAACAGTATCATGAAGTATTTCTAGGCATTTGATTTTGCTCCACAAACACAGCCAAGTCAAAGGCAGTGTGAGAAAAAGAAAGACCTTTTTGAACATTAAAGCACGTAAACATGTCACAGTAGACCCACAAAATACAAATATGAACCTGATATGTTGCAAAAAGTGTCCTGCAGGTGAAATAACTCAAAGCTCTGGAACTTCTACCAAATGGACTCGAATAAAACTGCTGTTGCGAAGGTCAAAATTGAGCTCTCAAATATCCTGCTTACAATTTCCTGCCTTATGTCTCGGAATAAAAATCAACAGAGAGAGGGAAATAGATGAATATGAAAGAAATAGAAAGTCTCAGTTCAGCTGCATACCTGTCTGAACAGACTGTTGTACAGCACACAGGTGACAGGGTGCTCATGGCTGCTCCTCTCCTCCTCCTCCTTCCTCTCCAGCAGGAGAAGCAGGCTGTTGAAGGAGAGAAAGAGGAGGTGCTGCTCCTCGTGGAGGAACAGGAGTGTGTGTGTGTCCTCCTGTGTCTTTGGGAAGACTCCGGCCAGACGGTGAACACACAGCTGACGAGAAATATCCCACAGACACAGGACCTGGAGAATGTACAGAAAGAACATGTGCAGTTTTTGTTTTTAGATCCGACCAACATTTATTTCGTCCGAATTTTGAAGAAATAAGTGAGATATTTTTCTTAGATATTTTTCTGAGAGTTGCTCCAAATTCTGACTTGTTTCTTAGAATTCAGACTTTTTTCTCAGAATTCTGACCTTTTGGTAAGATCTACATGTTATTGTAACTGGTGGGTTTTCACGTGTGCTGTAGTGGAAGCTATATGAAGCACCGCAGATTAAAAAAAAGAAAATCTACTATAAAAGACTTTAATTATCACAAGACATTATCCTC